TGTCCCGGGCTCAGTCAGTAGCCGCGCCCTGCCCACTCCTCCGCACCCTGGGCCTGACCCGGCCTCGTCCCGCCCGCCGCCTGTGGTGCTGTCCATGGCACTAGGGTGCATTAAGGAAGGATGTGCGCGCATCTTTATGTGTGCGTGTGATGGGATGACAGCGGTGTAGGGCTGTCGTGTCCTTGTAAGTGTGTGTCCTTAGGTTTGACCGTTTCCAGGCGTCCTACAAAGGTGCTGTGTGTGATACTGGAGATACTGGAAGTGCTTCTGTGTGCGACTTTTTTGTGGGCTCGATTGTTTTCTCAGTGACATTGTGTGTACTTGTGAATCCTCAAGTGTGATGGCGTGGCCTATGGGCGTGTTTTTCTGTGTGTCTGTGTGTTTTTGTTTGGGAAGGAGTGGTCTTTGCATCTCCGTGTGCACATGCCTCGTTGGTTCTGTTGGACTGAGTGCTGGGATTTTGTGTGTGTTCATAAGGCTGTTTCTCTGTGTTTCTTTGTGGAGCTGTGTCATCGTGGGGGAGAGAAGCCATGATGTCTCCTGCTGCACTGTGTCTTTAAGGGTGGTGTGTCCTTGTACCTGGGTAGCTTGGTGAGTGTAACTGCATGAGCAGCCGTGGATGAGAATGGGTGCAGTTCCTTGCAGGTGGTTGTGGCAGTGTTGGATTGCATGTATGACATCTCAAGATTGTCAGTCTGAGTGAGCAGTGTGTGAGGCTGTGACTGCTGGTGAGAGTTTGATGCCCAGGGGCTGAGGGGTGGTGAGTGCCAAGCAAGGGCACTTGGAGCAGCACCCTCCTCTAGCTCTTCAGGGCTGTCTGCATCAAGGATGGGGGATTTAAAAATCGTTAAATAGTTTATATATGTATAACAGTGTATTTGGCATGTACGTACAACGTAAAGAATAATGATAAAATAATCCTCCTGTGTACCTACCACTCAGTTTAAGCAATAGAGCACGACCAATAGTTAGAAGCCCCTAGTGTGCCCCTCCCCACACAGCCCCCTCCCCCAATCATCATTATCCTCTCCTTTCTGTCCATTGAGCCCTTACTTTGTAGCTTATCACATATGTGTATATCTAGAAACAATCTATTGTTTAGTTTTTCCTGCTTTTGAACATCATAGAAATGGAATCATACTGGGTGACTGGCTCCTCTAGTCACCAGGTGTCACTAGGAAGTCCTGGGGTGTCTGGTAATTTCAGGCAGCCTGCAGTGGAATTCTGGAACTTGCTTTTTTTTTTTTTTGGCTTTGCTTTGGTCAGGAGATTCATCCCTATTGAATTGTGTGGCTCTGGTTCATTTATTTATATTGCTGCCTAATATTATATCTTATGAGTAGATTATGGCTTATATATGCATTCTCAAATTGCCAGTGGACATTGGGTTGTTTCTAGGCTTTTCTTTCTCCCTCCACTTTTATGTGATTATGAACAGTGCTGATGTAATCTTTCCTAAAATTGCGTCCAGTAGTGTATGTGCAAAAGCTACTCTGGGGTGTAACATTCCAGGCGTGGTTAATAGGATATGTGCATCTTTTTAGATATTCTCAAACTGTTCTTCAAAATTGTTTTGAAACTGCTCTTCAAAATTATTTTGGTTTAGCTCCCACCAGCAAAGTATGAGAGTTTCCATTTTTCTACATTCATGTCAGCACTTGATATTATCAGAGTTTTGATTTGGGGCAATATTTTGGATGTATTATGCATGGTATCTCAATGGCATTTCAATTTGCTTTTCCCTGATTACTGATGAGGTTGACTATTTTTCATATGTTTAATAACCATTTTTGTGAAATATGTGATCATGTATTTTGTCCATTTCTGTATTAGTTTGTTTTTCTCTTATTGCATTTTAGGAATTCTTTGTATATTCTATACACTAATCTTTTATTAACTATTTGTGTTGCAGGTATCTTTTCTTTTAAACATATTTCTGTATGTCCTGTTTGTTTCTTTTTCATATCTTCGTGGTCATTTTTATAGTTTTTTGTTCCTTGCTCATACTTTTGGTACCCTCCATTTATTTCTTTATACTTATGGAAATTGTTTCAAAACTGCACAAACTGAAAATTTGTCATTGGGTAATTTTATTCTACACATAAACTTGTGCACATACCAAATGATATATGAACAGGTTATTCATATAGGTTCCTGTTGTCCGCAATATTAATATAGAAAAATCTATAGCTGTCATATCTGCCATCATCATTCCTATAAAGAAACCTGATCTCCAGCGGCCCCGGGCGAAAGTTCTGGGACTCATTAAGGCAACACTGGGGGTGGGGTGGTGGTGTCTAGGGGTCTTTGGTGGTTCTTACGTGTGTCTGGAGATATCTGGGGGTTTCCCAGTGGCTTAGGGGTGTCTGGGTATATTTGGGGGGCTATGGTGCCTTCGATGGCGTCCTGGTTGGGGGGGGAGGTCCCAGGCCTGACGGACGCTGACGACTTCTTTTCTCCCACTTCATCTTCCCGCAGGAGCCCCGCGGCCTGAGCGCTGCGTCGCCATCCATGGCTGAGGCTGCCGCTCCCCGCCGCTTCCGGCGGGCAGTACCCCGAGGAGAGGCGGCGGGTGCGGTGCAGGAGCTGGCGCGGGCGCTGGCGCACCTGCTGGAAGCTGAGCGGCAGGAGCGGGCGCGGGCAGAGGCGCAGGAGGCTGAGGATCAGCAGGCGCGCGTCCTGGCGCAGCTGCTGCGCGTCTGGGGCGCTCCCCGCGCCTCGGACCCGGCTCTGGGCCTGGACGACGACCCCGACGCGCCCGCCGCGCAGCTCGCCCGCGCCCTGCTCCGAGCCCGCCTTGACCCTGCCGCCCTCGCGGCCCAGCTCGTTCCCGCGCCCGCCCCTGCCTCTGCGCTCCGACCCCGGCCCCCAATCTACGATGATGGCCCCACGGGCCCGGATGCCGAGGACACCGGCGACGAGACGCCTGACGTGGACCCCGAGCTGCTGAGGTGCCCGGCAGGGTCTGGGGGAGGGAGGGGGTACCTGTGCCCCGGGAGGGCGAGAGCGAGGGCCTGCTTCACAGGCGGAGGGGCGAACACCTGAGTCCTGGGGAGAGGCAGGGGTTCTGGGACCTTAGGAGGGAGTGAGATCCTGGATCCAGGGGTGGGGGGCAAAGATGCCTGGCTGGGGGCACAGTGGGGGACGTAGACTCCCGGTCCTGGGGAGCGGGCCGATGCTGTTTCTGGGGGTGGAGGGAGGTGGGTACGTCATAGTTTCTGGGATATGAGGCTGGGACATCTGTCTCTTGAAAGCAGTGGCTTGGGGACAGTTGGGTGGAGAGGGAGCTGGAGACCCCCGGTCCCCAGACTGTATGGAGTTGTGTGGTTGTGTCGTCCGGGTCCTGGGGCGGGCGGTGATACGCGGACACATCATCACTGCGTTCTGCTCGGCCCTGCAGGTACTTGCTGGGGCGGATTCTCGCAGGAAGCGCGGATTCCGAGGCTGTGGCAGCCCCGCGCCGCCTCCGCCGCGCAGCCGACCAGGACGTGGGCCCTGAGGTGCCCCCTGAGGGCGTGCTGGGGGCGCTGCTGCGCGTGAAACGCCTGGAGACCCCCGCGCCCCAGGCACCCGCGCGCCGCCTCCTGCCTCCCTGAGCGCCTCCCGGATTCCACGCGCCCTGGGACCCGGGAGCGCCCCCGCCTCCCCACCACCCGGACTGCTCCCCGCCAGCACGTCCAGCGCAGCTTACCCTGGTGGCCAGCCTGTGGCTACCCTCTGACCCCAAGGTCCCCACCGCACCGGCCCCACAATAAACACGATCTGAAGCAGCTCTGTGCTTGTCTGAGTGGCAGTTTCTAGGGAGTGGTGGGCTGGGAGGTGGCCGCCTTTAGAGTAGGGCAGAGGGGCCCCTGCCCTGGGTCCTGCACTTTAGAGATACCCCCTGCTCAGTCTAAGCCTCTCCTCATGGGTATCAGGGGGAGGCATCCACATGCACAACGGCAGTGTCCACCAGATCCTGTGTTCCCCTTCTATGCCTCACTTGAGTATGGGGAGCCCAGGAGGCTTTCAGGCCACTTTTGGGGCCTGCACTGGCATCTTCCAGGGTCCACCCTCCTGAGGGCCAAGGGTGGGTCTAGGGGTGGCTATGAGGCATGCGAGCCCCTGGGGTGCCGGCTGGGCGTCCACAGGCAGGCAGGAGCACCGCCTGATGTGGGGAGGCTGGGGAGAAAAAGGGAGTGGGCTGCAGGCTGGGGGGCAGCCCTCCTGACACAGGCACATTCTGGCAGGGAACTCCGAGGAGTCTGAGAAACTAGATCCTGGACATCCAGGCTGTTAAGAAAATGTACTTGTCAAGGTAGGGTAGGAGAAGACGCACTTTGCTTAGGTTTGTTAGCTTGGTTTGTAAAGTTTAAATATTTAGTCATACAGTATGGAGGCCTGTCTGTACTCTTGCCCAGGCCCTAAAGATTTTGGGAGTCCCTGTTGTGGCAGCTGGTTTGCGGCCACAGCTTTTGCACTGGCTACTCCCTCTGCCCCTGGATATCTGTAAGTTTTTGCCCAAATGTCACCTGGCTCATTAAGGCTTTCCTTGACCTCCCTTGTTACTCTATTCCTTCACCTGCCTTTAATGCATAGCCTGATGTTTTATCTGCAAGGGCAGGGTTTTTTAAGTGCCTTGTTTGCCTCCACATCCCTTTTACCCAAAGCAGGGCCTGGCACACAGTAGGCTCCCCCCAGTTTCTTGAATGAAAGAATTCTCATAATTCAAGTAGCATTCTACCCAGTCCCACTCCCACCCACATAACACCACTTGGCATCGAGGCAGCTTTGAAACTCAAGAACACATTTAATTCTGCACAAAACTTCTTAACTTGACATAACATAAACGTTAGACACCCTACATTAACAAAAAGCCCCTCACCAAGTGAAAATGAAAGCGGTGTCCATCCATCTCCAGTACAGACAGCATCCCATGCAGCTAGTTGCTTCGGGGGTCTCATGTCAAGGGAACGATCACCCTGACCTGGGGGAGGGTCCGCTTTTCTCGACCAAGACCTTCAGGCCACAGAGCAGCCACAGCGGCAGGTGGTCTTCTGGTGCTTCCCACCTGGCCCTGACACAGCCTCCTTTGCCCTGGCTTCCTGGACCCTCTGGATCTCATGGACGAGCAGAGAGAAGGCCTCCTCCACACCTTGCCGGGTCTTGGCTGAGGTCTCCACGAAGGGCGCTCCCCAGCTCCGGGCGAGGGCTACAGCAGTGGCATGAGCATCTCCGGCGTCGGTCACGAGATCACACTTGTTTCCCACAAGGACGAGAGGCTGGCTGGGGTGAGGGCCCCAGGCGTCACGAATCTGCTGCAGCTGGCCCAGCGAGGAGGGGTCATCGAGAGCGAAGACACCCAGCACGCCATCACCAGCAGCCAGGCACTGGTCACGCAGGGCCTTATGAATGGCCTGCCCTGCGGTGTCCAGCACGTTCAGAACGCAGCCCCCATGATCCAGGTCCAACTCTTTCCAGTAGGAATCCTGGATGGTGGGGTCGTGGTCTTCCACGAAGCACTGGTGGTTCAGCTGGATGGTCAGAGCGCTCTTGCCCACGCCACTCGCACCCACCACCACCGCCTTGTACTCGGGCAGCTTCTTGCCATCATCCCTGCAGTGTGCTCTAGCACGGAGGCTGTCTTCCGGGGAGGCAAGCTTCCATGTGCCCAGGCCCAGGTCGATGGTGCCACACTTGGTAGTAGGCAGCTCCATGTCCTCAGCACGCAGCTCAGGGGAGAGATGTGGACGGCAAGCCCTGCACGTGGGGAAGAGCAGCAAGACAAAGGGTTGGGGGAGACTATTTGGGGGTAAGGAGACAGCAGGGTGTCATTGGATCAACATTTATTGAGTGCCTATTGTGTGCTGATCACCTTCTAATATGCATGCAATATACATAATTTATGTAGTTTTCTCACTCCCTCCCCGCCCCCTCCCCCCTCTCCCTCTCCCCACCTCCCTCTTCTACCTACCACTTAAACTGTAGGATTTTCCAAACTGCTTTGAGATGTAATTTACATCCCATAAAGTTTAGCCCGTTTGAACGTACAATTCAATGAATTTAAGTGTATTCACAGAGTTGTGCAACCATCACCATAATCGAATTTTAGAACATTTTCCTCACCCCAGAAGAGAATCTCTGTCCCCATTAGCAGTCTCTCCCCACTGTGGAGGGAGGGTGGGATTTTGCCTGTTTTGATCACCATTGAACCCCAGCCCAGCCCAGCACCTGCGAGACAGAACGTGCTCAAAACAATTCCCTCCCCCTGGGGGTTTATGCTCTAAAAGTGGGTTTATGCTCTAAAAGGGGGAAACAGAGCATACAGTCAACCAAATAAATATATAAATCATGCAGCGTGCTAGCCATTATTATTAGAATTTAGTCTTTATTAGTTACTCGACACATATTTATTGAGAACCTGCTGTGTGGCGAGGACATAGAGGTGGACAAGAAATAGACAACGAAGCCTGGCCCCCGTGAACGTTACATTCTCGTTGGGGCGACAGACACCAAACAAGATAAATAAGTAAAATATATTTTAGGAGCAGGTGGTAAGCTTGCAGAAGGTGCTCGGTGAATGTTAGGCTTTTTAATTATCATTTAATCCTCATTCACCCATTCAAGAAACTTCCCGCGTGCTCCACATTGTGGTATGGCAGTTAACAAAACAGATTCACATCCCTGCAGCTTGTGAGGATTAGAGCCTGGCAGTGTGAAGGAGACAATAACAAGATAAGGAACGAGGAAGTTGCAAGTTAGAAGAGGATGGGCACACAGCAGGTGCTCAATTAGTGTTAGTTATTAGTAGCACATCCCCATTAACTCGTTGAATGCACCTCCAGGTCCTTGGGCTCGGGAGATGCCCCTGCTTAGTGCACCACAATAGCCACCTGTGCTTAGTTACCGCGACACCCCCGCTGGGGACCAGAGGCAGATGGGGGCAGATGGTGGGCTCCACAGGTGGTGGGGGGCAAGGCCTCAGGTGGGGATCCGGCTGCGGGGGCCCCAACCCCCAGGGATCGCTGAAAATGGTCACCGGAAATGCTGCCCAGAAAGGGGGGGCCAGGATGAGAAGTATGCAGAGGATAGAGTTTTGGGGGTCCCTGAACTCTATCCGTTTGGGAACGGAAAGAGGGAGAAGACCTAGCTGTGAGGACAGAGGGGAGCGGTAGGTCGGACTCTGGTATATTCTGAGGGAGAACGAGCCCGGCCATCTTTAGGGATTGAGAGGCAGGGAAGAGGTCACGGACGACTCCCGAGTTTGGGGCCCACGCGGCTGGAAAGCTGGGGTACCCTTGGGCGGGGGAGGGGCCCGTGAGGAGGGCTGTGAGGATGAGCTGGAGGAAGGCAGGCCCGACCCCGGTGGTCACCTGAGGGCCCACACTCACCCCGTCCGCCTGCCACCCACCCCGGGGCGGCAGAGGTCTCGTCACGACGCCCGCTTTACCCGCGCGCAGTAGCGAGGCTCGGAGAAGTGAGGTGACCGGGACTGGCCCGAGGTCACACAGCCCGCGAGAGACGCCACGGAACGGGGGCCAGGCCCTGTGCCCTAGTAAGGCAGGGTCACTTGTGGCGGCAGGCGCTGCAGAGCCGGGCCGGCTATCGGGGCGGCCTGGGCCCCCCAGCCGGGTCGCGCTCTGCCTGACGAAGCCAGGTGAGGGCCAGCGCTTGAGGTGGCGAGGGGACCCCTGAACCGTGACTGCACTTCGGGCTTAGTGTGAAGAGTGTGGCCCAGCTGCCCTTTCTCGACCCGTGCCGAGTCTGAGGGAGGCGCCCCGCTTCCCGCCCCACGCGGACGCCCTCACAAAGCCGGGCGCTGAGGGGCTGCGCTCCCAGGAGGGGAGGCGCCGGAGAAGGGTCCCCTCACACCTCACAGCCGGCGCGGGACGACCCCGGGGCCCGGGCGGCCCGCTCACCTGTGTCCCGGGAGACGCGGGTGCGCTGGGACGCGGCCGGCAGCTCTGACAGGACTAACTGGGGGCGAAGCGGCTCCCCAGACCCCCGGTGGCGGCTGGGGCAGTGGGCATGCGCAGCGCCCTCCCGCCGCTCGGTCGCCCCCGCCCCCCCCCCGCTCCGCGCTGCCCCCCTGCCCGGAGAGCGGGGTCACCCCTCGCCCACAGGCACGTGCGCGCCCCACGGCCAGACCTCCCATTGCCCCGCGGCGCCTCTGCCTGGCCTGGCACCTGTTCGGGATGGGATTTCCTGTTTGTGCGTGTGTGTCCGTGTGTAGGGGGCTGTGTCAGATTTTGCTCTGGATGGCCAGACTTTGGGAACCGTTCTGTGGGGATCTGTTTGAGGCCATGGAGCCTGTGCCGCCTCAACCCGGCTTTTTGGTAGCCTCAGAGAGGATCGTGCCTGTTCCTGGAGGGAAAGAGTTGTCAGGGCTGAAGGAACCTACCTGATCTGAGGTGGTTTGTCAAGCTAAAAATTTCCCAGACTCCCTTGCAGCTACAGCAATCACGGCACAGCTCTGAACAGTGAGGTGTAATCAGGGGCTCTTGGGTGGGGCATCCAGGGGGCTCTTAAAAGGGGTTGGCTGACACTCTCTTGCTCTTCCCTATTCCACTTTTTCTCGAGTCGGTGGGGCTCAGGTGGTCAGTTTGGGATCATAAAGCGGCCATGAAGAAAAGGCCGGGAAACCTTGGCCTGGAAACCTTAGCCCAGATGAGAATTGCTTTGGCAGCTCAAGAAAGTCAGGGCTGAGGATAACTGCCCTTCAACTTCCCACCTCTGGTCAATGGCAGCTACCCATTACCCAAAGAAGCTACCTATGACCACCAAATCCACGGAAAACCTGGACTTCCCACCCTGTCCCCAGTCAGGCCAATGAGACAGTTGGGGAAACTGAGGCCTGGTGAGGCTACTTCCTGCTAGTTTTCTTGTCTTCTCAGTCTAGGGTGTGGCTGGGACTGGCTGTGAGGCCCCTGTTTCTAAGACAATCACTCATTTCCTCAAGGATTCTACTGTCTTATTGCCAGTGGAACCAGTCAAGCTGCCTGCTCTATTTTTAGTTAGCTTTTGGGGCAATGGATGGGCAGGGGGGTAACCTGATGAAGACCCACTCCCGTATTCCTTCATTACTCATTGGCCCGGCTGGCCAGGGATGTGGGATTCTCCACCTACTCAAAGTTAAAAGACTTCAGGTTTTGTAACAGGTCATCCTTTATTACATATGCAACCCTGCCATACCTGCCAGTTGACCCCCCTCCCTCCAATGTTACCCTCATGATATCATCCCCCTCTAGGGCCACTGAGCTGCCCCCCTTTCCTTCTGGGGAGGAGTAGTGGTGTCCCTCGAGCAGGCAGTGCGCAGGGACAGATCTACAACTGATCATCCAAGTGATCATTGCAGTCCTCTTACAAGTATTTACACTTAAATAAGCACTCTTGGGAGTTGCAAAGGATATTCAGGATGGAATGGAGTGGGAGGCTACCCCTCATCCAAGGGACAGGTTGGAATGAACTATGGCTGGTCTATCTTGGGCCTCAGGAGGTGGAGAAGAGGGAGCGCGGTGGTCTGGGGTTTAGTGTGGGTGGGGCATGTCCTCCCCAAACTTGTTCTGGTGGGCGATGTTCTTCACTTCTAGGAGAGCCTGAGGAGGAGGCAAGAACAGGGTAGGTGAGAGAGAGTGAGGACCCCTTAACCTCGGACAGAAGGCTGCCCCCACTCTAGGCCCCAACCACTCTGGCTCCTGGACTAGCCCACAGCCCCCGCCCCATACAAAATAATCACACAAGGCAGCCATACAGAGGGGTCTGCGTTCTCCCGTTATCCCATCAGAGAAGGGGCATGTAGGGGTGAGTGTGCACATGTTAAAGGGTCTGCCCAGGGCCCACCTGGTGGTGGACATAGGCCTGACAATGGTAACACCAGGCAGACAGGTCAACGTAGCTGAGAACCAGAGGGTGTCCAGAGTCTCCGTGGTGTTGAAGCATATGGCCATTGATGTAACGACCGCAGTAGACCTGAGGTTGGGGTGTAAGTGTCAGGTGGGGGTAAGCACCCACCTGTAGTCTGCTCTCGGGCCAACCTCACCCCATCCCCTTTCTCTGCTCCATACCTGATAGCAAGACAGACACACCCAATTCTCCTGGAGTGATCCACAGTCCCCACAAGGTTGAGTCACATCCAGGCCTGCTGCAGGTATGGGGCATACTGCCACCAAATGGGGACACCAGGGCAGTGGTGTCACTGCATAAAACATGGCCTGCAGTGGGTGAAACTAAGTAAGCTGGGGACACCATTTCCCCATTCCATGTTCCTACATCACACGCTCCTACATGGAGACACAAATGGGCAAGAGAAGGAAGCCATAGTCCCAGCCTCTCCTTGAGCTCACCTGATCAGTGTCAGTAAGGTCCCCAGATCTCTGCATCAGAATCAAATCATCCATGTCCTGACCTCCAGCTGCCTCTCCGAGTAGGCTCTCCTCTTCTGGGGTCTGAGAGCCTGGGTCCTCCTGGACACAAGGAGCACAAGATGTATCAGAAAGGCCCGATTTGGGCCCCTTCTTCCCCCTTCCTGGGTGTGGTGGGCCTTACCTGAGATTTGTTGCCTAGTTCCAAGGTCCTGAGACTCCCCATCAGCTTACTGGGGGATGTCTGGGGTGTGGCCCCCTGCACAGGTGTGGTTAGGGGGTTCTGGTTGTCTCTGCATGAGGCTAGAGGAGTTTGGATCAGTTGGGCACCCCCCATAGCCTCCCCTGAGGTGGTCTGGTCCAGGGTGGCTCCCTCCATGGCTGCCTCTGAGGTGGTCTGGTCTAGCGAAGCTCCTCCTACAGCCTCCTCTGAGGTAGCCTTGTCCAGCGTGGCTCCCCCAACAGCCTTCTCTGAGGTGGTCTGGCCCAGGGTGGCTCCTCCCACAGTCTCCTCCGAGGTGGTCTGGTCCAGAGTGGCTCCCCCCACAGCCTGCTCTGCGGTGGTCTGGCCCAGCACAGCTCTCCCCTTGGCTGCCTCTGAGGACCGGTCCTGAGTGACTGCCACCACGGCTATCTCTGACTTAGTCTGGCCCGGGGTGGACTCTTCCGCAGATAATGCTGAGGTGGCCGTCCCCATGCCTGCTTCCAGAACTTTCTCTTCTGGTGTGGACATCCCCTCAGCTGGCCCAGGATTGGTTGGTTGGGGTGCCTTCTTGGTGACTGACTTAGAACTGGAGGGTGCCTCCTTGTCTTCTACCTCTGTAACCATGGAGGGAGATCCTTGAGTGTGGGTACTATCCCCTTTCTGCTTCCTTCCCTGAGTCCCCCCACTGCCCCCAATTCCCCACATCCACTCACTCGTGACCCGCAAGCCGCGCCAGTATCTGCGATGGACTTGGATGGTCTCAGTGATTGAGGCCAGGGCCCCTGATAGTGGGGGCCGTGACAGGGCCAGCAGGGGTAGTGGGTCTCCAAGGAGGGAGCGGGTGCAGGCAGCCATGGACTCGGAGATGGATGTCAGGTTATAGCCACCCTTTGTTAAGGAAAAGGGGAGGGAAAGGGGTGGTGGAGGTTCATCAGGGAATTTGGAGGGCGAGACGTCCTGCCTCCCCAATTCCCCCCACCCCCAGCCCTGCAAGTCTGGAGTCTGGAGTGGTGGGAAGTACTGGGAACACATGAGTAGAAACACCTGTTAGATGGGCAACACCTGTCAGATGGGCAGCACCCGTTTTGTGAGGTGGTTGTTGTGGGGAGGTAGATTGTGATGTAAAGTGCAAGATAACAATGCTGATATGGCATTAGTAACAGCTGACATTTATTAAGTGTTTGCTGTGTCCCAGACCCTATTTTAAGTACTTCATGCATACTAATGCGCTTAATCCTCACAACCACAGGTGCTCAATCTGTACAGGCACTTGCCTTTATGCCATACAGAAATCCATCTTCACACTGTCCAGCAACCTCTGGCCTCACACTATACAGTAACCACTGACCTGACATGCACAAGATGTCTACTGTGAACCCATACAAAAGCCCCTGCCCTGACCCAGTGCAGGAACTGGGTCTTTCTCTCTACCCACACTCCTGTCCTGACCTTTTCCACACTCCATAGGAACCCCAGTCTTTTTACAAATAAAGAAACCAAGGCTCAGAGTGGTTAGATGACTTGTTTAAGGTCACAACAGCTGAAGAGGCAGCACTGGGGGTTTGAACCTGGGCTATCTGAGTGGGTTAAATTAATGTCCGAACAATGTGTAATGGTAATGAGACCCAGCATTTACACAGGGCTTACCATATGTCAGGTACTCCTCCATGGTTAGCCAGCCCCATCTTACAGACAAGGAAACTGAGGCACAGGGGGCAGGGTACTGAGTCATTTACAAAAGGTCAGTGTATTTACTTTGTCTCTGGAACTTGTTAGAGGCAGTTCAGGTAGCAGTAAAAAGCACAGACCCTGGAGCCAGGCTGCAGGGGTTCAAGCCCTGGCTCTGCCATTAGGAAATGAGTGACCAGGCTAGTCACTACACCGCTCTGGGCTTCAGTTTCCCTAATCTTAAGAGAGGAAAATGATGAGGTAAGCAGACCCTGCTCGGAAGGCTGCTTTGCCAAGAGAATGAATTAATAATAAATATAAAGTGCTGAGAAGAGTGCCTTGCACACAGTGAGCCCTTGATTAAAGCTATTAATTATTATTAAAGCTGGTATTATTATTATTAATGCCTGGTATGTGCCAACAATCCAGGTGGAGACACTCAGAGGAAATTTTGGGAAACTGCCCTAAGTGATGCAACCAACTTTTCCAAACTACCCTCCCATCACAGGAAGAGGGACTGAGAGAAAGTTACCTCTAGGACAAGGATAATGCGGCCATTGGCAAGGCCCATCAGCAGGTGGGTGAGGTGGGCATAACCCTCAGGTGACACCTGGCAGCCCCCCAGGGGGTCCCCCCATGCAGCGTCAAAGCCAGCAGAGACCAGCACCAGTTCTGGGTTAAACTGAGGCAGGGAGAGAAGAGATGCAAAGGCATGAGGGTAGGGGCCACGGTGGGCAGGAAGTGGTGGAGACCCAGGGACATGGAGACAAGGACAAATGAATACATGGAGATGCAGGTCAGAGAGATGGAGACGCAGATCAGAGACCTGAATGTAATGAGGGGAAGACAGGGAAACACAAGAAACAGAGACATGGACACATGAAACAGACTTACAGACTTGGAGACACTAGAAATGGACAGACAGGGACATGAAACAGTTATGAGATGTGAGACATGGAGACCCCGATGTCAAGAGATAGTGACATGAGAAACGGGATATATGTCCTCACACACACGCACCCCAGAGTCAACTGTGGGACACACACACAAGATACAGGGTTTTATATACACAGTGCCAGAGAGAGGCACGCACACATTTCCATAACAGAAGACGACAACACAATTGCCATACACAGAAAAGATGGTCACATATAGCCACACATATCCCCACACAATCACAGTCCCATACAAACCAGGACTACGCGTCTATACTAGTCATGCATACACACACACACACACACACACACACACACACATACACACACAGTTTCTCAGAGGGGACAATGATCCACAGCCACCATGCACAGTCACAAGCATACATATGCCATCACCACACAGTCACAGTGGACACATGCACATTGTTGCACCCACAGGAGGTAGTCACTTGCATAGACAGTTCCATGTACACACGAGGCTGTCCTGGCCACCCGTGCACAGTCAGACAGATATGCAAGGCCATCACAGTCAACCCCCTGCCCTGACAGCCATCACTACAGCCACCCACAGCCTGTCTCATATGATCAGTCAGTCACTTAGCAGTCAGAGGCACACAGGGTTGAGGAGGCAGGCACATGCTGCCACCTGCATGGGAATATCACATTCATCCTGAGCCATACCTCGTAGGCAATGGGAAGCACCAGACGATGCCAGGCAGCCAGGTAGTCGGCGTCACCCATGCGGGGCCCATTCCAGGCCACGTTGACAGTGAAGCCTGTGCCTACGGCCCGGCCTATCTGGCTGCTGGCGCCCTCATCCCCCATGGGGAAGAAGGCGCCATGATCATAGCGGTGCAGGGACACGTATAGCACACTGCCAGAGATGGGGTGGGAAGGGGGCCATGGCTGGTTAGGGGCCCCCAGCACCCCTGAGGCATGGCTCACCCACCTCCCTAACCACACCCTTGCCCCTAGCCCCAGCCCCTCACCTGGGGTCATCCTCAAACATGTGCTGAGTTCCATTACCATGATGGACATCCCAATCCACAATCAGGATCCTGGGGAGGGGACAGTTCCTCAGTAACCCAGGACACTTGCCCCCTGGGAGAGGGCTGGGTCTAGACTCCTGGGGGTGCAGGGGCACTTATTGCTGGGTGGGAGGACTCTGGATCTCTTGGAAAAGCACTGGGTATCAGGCTTCTGGGTCCTATCAGTTAAGGATAAAGCCTGATCCTGAGTCCTGAGGGCCTGAGCACTCCTGCTCAAGTGCTCAGAGCAAGTGCTGAGTGGCTAATGCCAGCGGTTGGATCCTGAGTCTTTTGGAATAAGCACTGGGGGCTGGACCTGGGCTCTGTTGGAGGCCAGAAATGCTGGAGGGGGACCCTGGATCCTGTTTTATAAGTGCCTGGGTGCCTCAACCCGGGGGTCCTATCTGGGTAAGCACTGAGAGGCTCCATCCGTGGTCCTTTTCTGGGTAAGTGCTGGGTGACTGGACCCTTGCTCATTTCTGGGGGAAGTCCTGGGGGCTGTACCACAGGGACTGCTAAGCACTGGGCTTGGGGGGGGTGTCCAGGTTCCCACAAGGATCAGAATTTGGGGGTCCCCAAGGAGCCCTTACCGCAGGGCACGCCCACTGATGGCCTGGGCATGGCGAGCAGCCACAGCCACAGAGTTGAAAAAGCAGAAACCACAGGCTGCATCCTGCTCGGCGTGGTGTCCTGGGGGGCGCACCACAGCAATACCATTCAAAACCTGGGGAGGAGTGGAAAGTGAAGATCGGACTGCCCGCCCTCTTGCCAGTGCCGGCCCTCCTTTCTCCTCTTCTCTCTCTCCTGTCCCCTCCACTACTCCCCCAGCTGCTAGCGCCCCCTGCCTCTCCCATGGAGCAGGGACCCCTCCCCGTACTCCCTTTCCTCAGGCTCTGCCTGGCTCTCTCAGAACCTCCATGAGCAGGAGGTGGCCCTTTCTTCCCATTCACTGGGGACCTCCTCTCCCCAGGCCCACGCCCCACCCCAGAGGACACACCTCTCCTGAGAGTACAGCCTCCACCAGGCGGCAGGCTGCGCCGGCAGCCAGCTGTGCACAGGCAAAGGTGCTGGGGCAGATGTAGATAGAGTCGTAGTTGGAGCTCTCACGGTGCAGCTCCCGGGATTTCATCTTCTCAGTGGCCCGGAGACGACCCACATACTCAGCACTGGAGGCACAGAGAGGGCACCCAGCCAAGTGAGGAGGCCTAGCCCCTCCTGTGTCCGGCAGTAGCTCCCCCTCCCAGGAGGGGAACCCAGGCTGCAGCCCCTGAGACCCCATTCACAGCCCCGGGAGCCCACCCACCATAGGCATAGGGGGGTGTGACCTGTGGCAGGTGAGCAGCTCAGCGTTGGTGGCAGGGCGCACGGGCAGGGTGAGGCAGCGCCCGACAAGGCCCAGCTCCTCCAGGCGGCACATGATACGCGAGATGCGCTGGGGCATCTCGGGGTGGTGGCTAGCAGCAGGGGCAAACCAGAGGAAGGGGCTTAGTGCCTGCAGAGGGAGGAACCCCCCACGCCCACTTACCCAGCCCTCTGGCTGCGTACTTGTCCCATAAGTTGCAGTGACTCATCATGTGTTGGTCATAGACCAGCCCTGTACGGGCCTGCAGCACCGGCCATGTCAGGATTGGGAGCACAGGGGGCTCCCAAGGTCCTTCCTCCTCGTTCTCCTCCATGTCGTCCTCCTCTACGTAGTCCTCCTCAATGGGCTCGGCTACAAGGGGAAGTCATATTCACCCTACTCTCTCTATCTGCATCCCCATAATACTCTGGAACTCAGGTGACCCCAACAGAAAAAGGGGTGGGAGGCCTGGAACCCGGGGCCCAGGGAGAGAGACAACCTGACCCTCCCGTACCAAGGTGGCCCAGGAAAGTCAGAGGGGTCTGGAAGACAGTCTCTTCCCACAGCTCATTCCATGTCCAGCCCCCGATTTCCTACCTGGTCTCACAAGGACCTCCCAGAAGGGCTCGAGGGCTTCCAGAGCGCAGGAGAGGGAAGCCTGGGCACTGGGGGGCAGGGCAGGGGAAAGAGTGATGAAATGGCCCCTGGGTGGGCAGTGAGGCTCCTGCTGTTCCCCTCCTCCAGCTGGGCTCACCTCGGGCAGGGGGCACCAGGGGACTCCAGCATGGGACAAGGGTCTCCCAGGAGGGTGTGGAGTGAGGCACTGACACCCTCAGCCAGTGAGCGGAGGTTGTAGCCACCCTGGGGGAAGGAGTTGTGATGGGGGTCAGGAAAGAATGAGATGTTACCAGGGAAGAAGAATAAGGATCATGATCATGACAATAATAATAAAATAATACTAGGGTGCATGCTACGTATCAAGCAACAAGGAACTTAGAGGGTGACCTCATTTAATTCACTGGACAGTAATATGAGGTGATTACCATTATGATTATGCCCGTTTTACAGAAGGAAAGCAGAGGCACAAAGAAGTGAAGTGACTAATGCAAGGTTGTCCAGCTAGTAAGTGAAATGCTGGGCCAGGAACTCCTGTTGGACTTGAAAGCTCTGTTCTTAAGCCCTCCAGGATCCACAGGCTGAGAGACGAAGGTGAGTCACTCACCTCCAGGGACAGGATCAGCTTGCCTCCTGCCAGACCCATGAGCAGGTGGGTTAGCTGGGCGAACCCTGCCGGAGTGGCAGCCATCTCGCCCTGGGGGGACATGGAGAGTCAGCCTGGCTATGTGTAGCCCCTTCTGCCCACCCACCATCCTGGGGAGCCTGCTTTACCTTGGGGTCCCCTTGGAGGGCATCAAATCCAGCAGCCACCAGGACCAGCTGAGGCTGGAACTGAGGGGGGAATGGACTATATGAGGCTACCTTCCCTCATGGCCCATCCCTCCACAGCACCCCTCCCCCCAATACACCCCAGACCCCGAGGACCTCAAGGGCGACTGGCAGCAGGATCTGCAGGAAAGCGGCGATGTAGTCAGCATCCCGCATCCCCACCTGCAGACACAGAGGCATAATGGAGGACATTCAGCTCCTTGTCCCAAGCCATTGGGAAGGCAGGGCTGGGCCTCACTTTGGGGGCAGAGGGTGGGCAGACACTGACCTGGTTCCAAGGCACATTGATGGTGTATCCTTGGCCTTCACCAAAACCTGTGGTGGACCAGTTAGAGGCCTTAAGGTGAGGCCAAAACCTACCCTGCTCATAGCGATGGATGGAGAAATAGAGGACACTAGGGACAGAGAAAAAAGTTAAGGGAGTTAGAGAAGAGAGGCAATCCCCTTAGACACCCCCAATACATAGCTGCCTGTTTACTCAACCACTTGTTTTTCTGGATTTAACCACTCATTCATTAATTTCCCCATTAATCCTTTTTTCTTTTTTGAGACAGAGTCTTGTTCTGTCACCTAGGCTAGAGTGCGGTGGTGTCATCATAGCTCACTGCAACCTCAGACTCCTGGGGGCTCAAGCGATCCTCCTGCCTTAGTCCCCTGAGTAGCTGGGACTATAGGTGCACGTCACCACACCCGGCTAATTTTTTGTAGAGATGGGGTCTTGTTCTTGCTCAGGCTGGTCTTGACTCCTGACCTAAAGTGATACTCCTGCGTCAGCCTCCCAGAGTGGTAGGATTACAGGCATGAGCCACTGCGCCCACCCTCCCCAATAATCCTTTAATTCCTACATCCATTCTTCTTCTTCATTTTTGTATTTTTTAGAGACAGAGTCTTGCTCTGTTGCCCAGGCAGGATGGAGTGCCATGGCGTCATCATAGCTCATTGCAACCTCAAACTCCTGGGCTCAAGTGATCCTCCTGCCTCAGCCTCCTGAGTACCTGGAGGCTATAGGTGTGTGCCACCATGCCCAGCTCATTTTCATATTTTTTGTAGAGATGGGGTCTCACTATATTGCTTAGGCTGGTCTTGAACTCCTGACCTCAAGCAATCCTCCCACCTTGGCCAATCAGACTGGTAGGATTATAGGCGTGAGCCACTGTGCCCGGCCACATCCATTCTTCTATTAATTTACCCTTCTATTCAGCCACCTAATTTATTCATCTTCACATTCATTAATTCTTCCATTTATTTATCTATTACCTCACTCACTCATTCATCTAGTCTCCCACCAGAACCCCTCCCTCAGCAAACATCACTGCCCTCTTGGTGCCCACTCAATTCTAGGCTCAGCTCTTGGATCTGTCCCAGCCCCTGGGGGCTCTTGATCCTGTGGAGGACTGTAGATCATGTCTGCCCACCACCTGCCCCTGTGACCAGGGCAATAATAGCAGGACAAACCCTGTGACGTTGCAGGCCCACATCGGTATGGGGCTCTTAGCTGTGGGGAGCCTAAGGCTGAAAAGAGCCTCAAGTGAGTCTGGGGAGCTTAGTGATTTCCCTGAAGGAAGTGGGGAGACCCAGGGGCTGGGGTGAGACTTCTGTGTGTGGAGCTGGAGTGGGTGCTGGCTGGGGCTGCCATAAAGCCAGTGAGGGGGCAGTTTCTTCTCCCCAATGCCTTGTAGGCCACCTCTACTACTTCTTCTATTTTATAGGTGAGAGAGGGAGCACTCAGGGGGATGAGAGGGATCGATATGCAAAACACATACTGAAAGGACATGATGTACATGTTCTGACAGAAAGCCCAGCAGGGGGTTGTCACATGGCTTAATTCTGATGTGGGGGGAGCAAAATGAGTAACCTATCTTCCATCAGTCCATCTGTCTACCCATCCATCCATCCATCTATCTGTTCCTCTATCCCTCGCCTTCTTCTGGAAAGGATCTAAGGCAGCTTTTTTCTTTTTTAGGAAAATGCAAGAAATAGTAGAAAGCAATTAATCTGGACAAACTTTAAGAGTCACATTTTAACAAATGTTTGTAATGTAGTTGTGAAATTTAATGTAATTGATATAAAAGGATTCTTAAAATTGAGGAAAATATCTTGTAATTGGGGAATGAAACACGTGAAAGCTCTAGTCTTGAGTGGGTGGGAGATGGTTATATTATTTTTTATACTGATAGACAAATATTGGTTTTAAACCATTAGAGGAAGAGAAATACACAGTAGGACATAAAAATTATCATCAGGAGAAGAAAGGAATAACTAAAACATTTGAAGAAAGCCAATTCTACAAGCGAACCACCAGAGTTAACCAGAACAACTAGCACCCAAGGAAACTAAGTTTATAAAGCAAACTGAAGGGGATTTTTTAAAAAGTTTGAGCAACTTTGAGTGAAATGGTAGATTGATAGCACAGGTTTACCTCCTTGCCCTTGTACCACCCCAGCCAAAAGCCAATAAAGGAATTTTAAATAAGTATCAACCCAGAAGGAGAATAGGAGAAAAGGATGTCAGACAACAAGAGATGTCAACGAATATCTGGAAGTAGACTTTGAGGCTCCAGGGGCCCCTGTCCCATGCTGAGCAGGAGGAGGGGGCACCCAAGATCACCCGAGGTTTTCCTTCTGGAGAAATCAAGCACAGATCCAGGTCAGTGCACACCAAATCCATTCTGAAGAGCCAACTCACTGACTGACCAATTCACCAAACTTACTTGCTACTTTTAACTACTTAGTTTTAGTTTACCTGTTTTTCTTGTCTTTATAACAGCATTTTAAGGACTGTCTAATTTGTCTCCCTGCTGCTCATGTTAAGAGACTGAGAGATGGGGATCGGGGAGATCCAGGGGCATGGATAGATTTATACATTCTTATTCACAAGGAAGGTTGTTTGAATACATTCACAATTCTTCATATCCATGTATGTAGTCAATAGTGTATCCACAGAAGAACACACAGTTGTAGCATTTATTAAAACAAAAATGATTAATGATATTAATGATTTTTACTAATTTTCTCAGGTATGATACTGAAGTAATGCTCTTTTTTTTTTTAAAGAGGCAGACACCACATTACTCTGGTGATGCTTTTGAAAAAGTGTCCTTATATTTACAGATGCATTCTGGAATATTTACAGAAGAAATTATATGATATCTAGGATTAACTTCAAAATGAAACAAGTGGAGGGCAGTGGGTGAAGGTACAGATGAAACAAGAATTGATTTATGTTGAAGCATTCAATTCCAAAATTCAGAAATGAACAATATAAAGATCAGAGGCCAGGTGCGGTGGCTCACTCCTGTAATTCTAGCACTTTGGGAGGCTGAGGCCAGGAGTTCAAGACCAGCTCAAGCAACATAGTGAGACCCTGTCTTTATAAAAGATAGAAAAATTAGCTGGGCATGGTGGCGTGTGACTGTAGTCCCAGCTACTCAGGAGGCCGAGGCAGGAGAATTGCTTTAGCCCAGGCATTTGAGGTTGCAGTGAGCTATGATGACACCACTGCACTCTACCCCAGGCAATAAAGTGAGACTCTGTCTCAAAAAAAAAACCCCACAAAACCAACCAACCAACAAACAAAAAAACAGAAGAGGAAACAATAAGGACAAAACCAGAAAAATTAATCAAGTATAAAAAACCCACAATAAAACAGTAGAGATGGCCAAAAAAGCCCAAAGCTAGATTGGAAAAGATAAGTTAAACAGACACACCTTTGGCAAGGCTGAGGGAAAAGAGAGGTCACCCCAAAGAACAGGGCCCCTTTTTCTGGCATTTGGCAGGATCTCATCTAATGCCCAGGTCCTTGCCCACACTCTCTAAAGTTGAGACCTGTCAGGGGACATTCCCTGTCCCCATTCTGGGGAAATGCCTTTCAGGAAAACAGACCAACACACACCACAGCAGAGTAGTCCCATGACAGCCTCCTACAACAGTCCTTCATTCTTGGGTATAAATAGCCAAATAAGGACTGCTAGACATTTGAGGAAAACCACCAGCATGAAAGAGAAGGACAAAGATAAAACAATTCAACCAGCCTCAGAATAAAGAGACAGAATTCAGAGAAGAGAAGAAACTTAAAGCACTTCTAATTAGTACTATATAAAAACAAGATCAGGAATGACAGGGCATAGAAAGAGAGGAAGAAAGTGCTTTTAGAGATTAAAAGAATGTTTGAATACGTAATTCAACAGAAAGGCTTAAAGATAAAGTTGAAGAAACCTCCCAGGACACAGAGCAAAAGGAAAACACAAGATTAAAAGTAGGAGACACAGAAGATCAACCCAGGAGGTCTAACATCTAACTAAGGGGAGTCCTAGAAAGAGAGAGAACAGAGAAAACAAAGGAGAAGAAATTTTCAAAGATCCAATAGAAGGAAACTTCCAAGGATTTAAGAAAGGCATGAGTTTTCAGATGTAAAATATCTACCCACTGTTAAGCAGAATGAGGGAGCTGGGGTGAAAGTTTAAGACCAGGGATAAAGAGAAGAACCTAAACCCTTGCAGAGAGAAAAACAGATTACTCAGAAAGGAATGAAAAGCAACTGGAATGCTGGAAACAATAAGGCAATGTCTAGAGAATGACCAAACTAGATTGGATAAGGGGCCACGGGAGCTCAGGATCTGTGGAGGAAAAGTGGATTCTCTGCAGTCAGTTGGATAGAAGGCTGGATAAAACAACAACTACAGGTAAGCATGCTTTTTTTTCTTTTTCTTTCTTTTTTATTTTATTTTATTCCAGACCCAAGTGAGGAGCCTGGAGAAACTGGCTTCTCCTGGATCGGGATCCCAGTCCCACAGTCCCAGGTGAGCATCCTTAATCTGAAAATCCCAAATCCAAAATGCTCTAAAATCTGAAACTTTTTGAGTGCTGACATGACTCTTAAAGGAAATGCTCACTGGAGCACTTCAGATTTTGGATTTTTGGATTAGGGATGCTCAACTGGTAAGTATAATGCAAATATTCTCAAATCAGAAAAAATCGGAAATCTGAAACACTTCTGGTCCCAAGCATTTCAGATAAAGGATACTCCACCTGTACTTAACAATGTCCCCTAATCGCAAGGACTTGCTCAAACTCTTTCTGCAGGAAAGTGAAACTGGTACCCTCCTGGAGGGAAGTCTGGAAGTATATACCAGACTTTAAAGTACACTGACCCTCTGATCCAGCACTCCACTATTAGAAGTTCATTGTATAGGTATACTCAGATAAGTGCAAAATTACGTATTTACAAGACTATTCACAGCAGAATTGCCTATAATAGCAAAAACTGGGAAACATCTTGAATGTCCCAGGGTTAAGCAACCAGAGGTACAGTCGTACAATGGAATACTACAAAGAATGAGATGCTTTTAGAGACACTAACATGGAGAGGTGTCCACAATGTGCTGTTAAATGAAAAAAGCAAGTTGCCAAAGAACATGTGGAGGATTATTCCATTAGGCAATGTGTTGTTAATAATGACAGTAATAAATATTCATACATCTATAGGAAAAAATCTGTACAGATATAACCTAAATTGTCAGCAGGTAGTTTTGAGGTGATGGGAATTACAGGAGAGCTCACTGCTTTAGACATTTCTGCATTATTTAATTTTTTAAAACAAATACTTTGCAGAATTGCCATAATCAGAGAAAAAAATAAAGTAGTAATTTGAGGTTCACTCTGATCCAAGGGTAAATCGGTAAACAAAATCTTCAAGTATTTGTGGATCAAATCCCGTCTCTCCCAATTGTTCTCTGTGTGACCTCTTAACCTGTAAGCCTCAGTTCCGCCATCTGTAAAATGGGGAACCCAACATTCCCTGCCTCAGGATGAAATTAGGAGACAGCAGACACATAAAGCAGCACAGATCCTGCTCTCAGGGCGGGCCCAGTGAATGCGAATGCTTCTCCCTCCTGACTCTTCTGGGTGGGCCTATAAGGGTGGGAGGTGGTTGGGAGTCTAACACCTAGAGTGGGACTTGGGGTATACCTGGGGTCCTGGTTGAAGGTGAACTGTGTTCCTTGACCATGATGCACATCCCAATCCACGATAAGGACCCTGTGAGTGGGAGAGAAAGGAGACTCTGTGAGGGAATCAAGGTGAATCTGGGAGAAGAGCCCAGACTAGGATACCCCACCCCATGCCACCCCCATCACACTGCCCTCTGCTGACCTCTGGATGCCGTGCTTCTTTTGAGCATAGCGGGCAGCCACAGCCACATGGTTGAACATGCAATACCCATCCATAAGACTGTGCTGGGCGTGGTGTCCAGGGGGCCTAGGCAGAACAGGAAAGGCTACAGATGGGGGGGTCCTCCTCTGCAGAGATGGACTCTCCCTTGCTCCCTAATGCTGGGCCACCAACTCCTCTAATGCTGATGCTTGCAAATATGCCAGGAACTGAGTAACTGGAGCCCTCAAACCCCCACCCCTCCCCACCATCTACTGCTCTCTCTCCAAAGGAGATTTCAAAATGTTCATTAAAATTGTCAATGCATACATTCTCACACTCAGGCGTTCTGCTGCGGGGACTTAGCCCACAACCTATATAACAAAAAGGGTGAAATGACATGTTTATAAATGTACTACCATATTTGCTGTGGCATTGTTTTTGAAACAGCAAATGATTGGGAAGAACCAAAATGTCCATTGGTAGGGGACTGGTTAACTTAAAGTGCATTTACACAATGGCATTCTACCAGAGTCTAAGCTACATGCTGTTAGAGAAAGCCTTCCAAGATACGCAAGTAAAAATGCATGGTATGGAAGGGAGTGTGTCAAGTGTCATCACGTGTAGTTGAAAAGATGGGAGGGGAGAAAAGACTCTATCTTCTGCATTTCATCAATCCTAGGATGCCAATGATGATAAGATGGACCATGATTTTACGTGTCAACATCACAGCAGAAAATGCTGCTAATGAGATTCTGTGACACCATTGTTTGTAAGATGCATCTGGATTTCAAGATGTACACCTGAGAATCAATGAAATACGGTATTTAGTCCTTGAATAAGGCTATTTGTGGGAGACACACAAGTTACTGGTTCCAATGACTACCTCCCAGGAAAGGGAGGTGTCTGGGCAACAAGGAGGGGAGAGAGACTTTATTGTATTCCCTTTTGTACCCTGTGACTCTTGAACCACATGGATATATTACCCATGCCAATATATTTTACATTCAAGAGAAAGACTTTTAAAAAAATGTATAAAGTTAAATGCTGGAGGGCTCTACCTGACGATGGCCATGCCATTCCGGATCTCAGCCCCCAGGACCGCATCCACCAGCCTGAGGACGGAGCCCGAGGCCAGGCAGGCACAGGTGTATGAGTTCTGGAGAGACAGGGAAAAGCCAGAGAGGGAGTGAAGGAGAGAACAGCTCTATCCACTCAGCTGTTTCCCCCAGGGTGGGGTGGGCACGGGCATGGGGGACACCAGGATTGCTGCCACTCCCTGCCCCCACAGTTCTCATCCATACCGGATGCAGATAAACTGAGTCATAGGTGTCTGCTAGTGTGCGGAGTTCTCCCTCGTTCATGTACTGGGTTGTCTCCATCAGATCAATATATTCTAGGCTAGACACACAGAAGGATGAGATTCAGGGCCCTGTCCCCTCCCCAGCTGAGCCGTCCACACACCAGACCCCTGGTCAAATCAGGCCTTTCCAACGGTCAACCTGGGGGACCAGCCGGGATATAGGACACATTCTCTGTTTGTTCTCTAGCCCGCCTCAGTTCTAGTAATATCCTTTGCTCCCTAGCTCTATCCACACAGAATCCTTCCAGGCCTTTGGCCAGACTGTTCCAGCTATCTGTTCCTCCCTTCCCTCAGCTCCTGTCTTTATCTGGCATATTCTTTTTCTTCTTTTAAAGCTCAGGCCAGATAACCCCACCCCCACCAAGTTACCTTTCGTTGAGCCACACCACACCAAGCCTCTTATTCTGGGTACCTACAGACCCCTGGAGGGGACCCCTGATTACTCTGTCCAAACATTCACCATCTGTTCACACGACCAAATTGTAATAACAATGATAGCTCATCATGGGTGGATGATATGTCAGGCTCCATGCTAAGCACCTGACACATGGAACCCTCGAGGAACTTATGTTTACTAGCCCCCATGTTACAGGCAATGACACAGATTCAGAGAGGCTCGGCAACTTGCCCAAGGCCAGCCACAGAGTCCATGGCATTCCTTCCCAAAGCATTCAACCTGCCCCGATTGGTCCAGGGCAGCCTCCTCCCCATCCCTACAAGGCTCCCAACCTTCACCTGTGAACCAACATCAGTTCTTCCTTTTCAGCAAACCGGGCCTGAGGAGACATGAGGAGTAAAGGGCTAAGGCACGGGCTAAGGCATGGGCTGTGCCCAGGTCCTGCCAGCTCCCTGCCCTCCACCTAGAGTGTTGTCTGGGGACTCACCTGAAAGGACACACAGCGATCTAAGAGGCCCTCCTGGACCAGCTGCTCTTTGATGGCATGGAGCCGCTCAGGGCCTTCAGGGAAGCTGGGGAGAGGGAGACACAGCTATGGTGGGACTTGGGGTATACCTGGTCACACACATTTGTATGGGGACACTGGGGAGTACCACATCCACTCTCGCCATGTCTTCTCATCCATCTTTCCACAGTTGCTCACCCTAAAACTGTGCCATCAGCCCTGTCTCCTGTCAGCTTCAGAGTCTGACTCTCTCCTCACCGCCACCACTGCTACTATCATAACCTTCCACCTGGGCTGCCAAGTCATCTTCTCCCATGCCTCCCTGCTTCCACCCTTGCTCCACCAACAGCCATTCCAAACACAGCAGCCAGACACTGGTTAAAACCCTAATCAGATCATGCCCCTCTGAGGCTCCCAACCCATTCTGAGTAAAAGCCAAAGTCTTCCCCATGTCCAGGAGGCCCTAAACAACCTGTCCCCCATCAACTCTCTGACCCCATTGTCTACCACTCTCCCCCTCCCTTGCTTTGCTTCACCTGCTCTGGTTTCCTCCCTGGTCCTCAACTGAACCCAGTACTCTCCAGCCAGCTCCAGGGACTTTAGGTGGCCTCCCTTTTTAGAACACTCTTCTCTCAGATGTCTCTATGGAATTCTCCCTCACCTTGTCAGATCCCTGCTCAAATGTCAGTGAGGCCTGCCCTGATCATCCTATTTAAAATTGAAGAGTTCCCTCCATTGCACTTTCTACTCCTATCCTTCTCCTTTAGTGCCTCTCTGTAGTGCTGTTCTTCCTGTCACACTGTATCATTTACTTGTTTGTTTGTTTACTGTTTGTCTTCCTCATTCCCCCTAAGGCAGGGGTTTTTGTTTTGTTTACTGCTGTATCCCTAGCTCCTCAATAGATGGGACATGAGTATTCCGTAAATGAAGTCTTTTGCCATTGTGAGTTAGTCTTAGGTTGAGATAGGAGACATAGATACTAAACTGATAAACACGTAAGTATAATAATTAACAAACAATGTCATGGGCTAGGAAAATATCTGAGATGAGGTGTGGGGGTAGGGTAGCGACTAGGCAAAGCCCTCTCTGAGAAAGTCTCATTGAAATGTGAGAGTTAGCTGTGAGAGGAGAAGGTAGAAAAAAATTTCTGGAAAAGGGATCAACTAGGGTAAAGACCTGAGGTGAGAGGGTGCCTGGCATGTTGGAAGGACAGCAAAGGGACCAGTGTGGGTGAAATGAATGATGGAGAGGATTAGCTGATGAGGTCACAAAGGCGATGTGCAGCCAGATCACGTGGAACCTGGGGCAGAATGAAGAATTTGGACTTTACCTTGAGGGCAACAATCTGTCCCTGAAATACTTTAGGAAACAGAACCTCATCTCCTACATACTTTTTAAGGCTGCTTTGTGTAGAACAGACAATAGGGGTGAGGCTGGAAGCAGGGGACCAGTGAGGAGGCCTCTGCAAGTCTAGGTGAGTGATGAAGGTGGTGGCAGTGGAGGTAGCGAGAGGTCAGATACTAAATACATTTCAAACATAGAGGCAAAAGAATTTGCTGATTCTTTTGAAAAGTAGAGTGAATGGGAGGTATAATCCTTCTGTTTCAGCACAAATGTCCCTTCCTCAAAGAAGGCTTCTGGGAACCCTGGATGCTAGTCCAGGGTTCCTCTATTAAATACTCTTGAATCCCCTGGTCTTATGTCTGTTTTCATTAAACACCTCATACTGCTGTTGGCTGCTTAATGATCTGTCTTCCTACTCACCAATCAGCTCCCTGAGAAGGGACCCTGTCTGGCTTGATCAGCACATTTGTGTCACCAACTCCTGGCACATAGTAGGCACTCGATATATCGATGTTTGTTGGCTAAATGAGAAGACCCCTTTCAAGCTGAGCTCCACCTCCCTAAATCATCTGCTTCCAGTCTCCAGGCTAGCGTAAGAAAGGATTTGTTCTTGCTAATGAGCTCTAAGTGTGTGTATTTGTGCGGTTTGGGGACAGCCTGGAGGACCTGGCCTCACCTGTCATCCCAGAGGCAGTGGAATTCATTTAGCTGCTCATCCAACACCAAGCCAGTGCCAGACACTGGCTTGGCCTCAAGGTTCAGATCCTGCAGGGGAAAAAAGTGAGACACAGATCCATTTAGGGCCTGAGTCACAGGGAACATCTTATACTGTTCAGGGTGGGGAACCTAAAGGTTTTGATTGTCACAGTAGGCTAAATCACAGCCAGGCCCCTCTCACCATCCCTTGCAGCCCCACGATTAGGTCTTCTTCGGTCGCTTGGCCGAGCTTCTTCATTTTGCCTTTCTTCTTTACCTCTGCTAGATTGGGGCTGGAGCGGGGTACAGCACCCTTTTTAATGCTTCGCTTCTGCCAATCAGAGAGAAGGGTCAGAGTCCAGGGCATGGCCGGCTTGCTTCCCCCTCCCCCTCATCAGGGCCAGTCTAAAGCCTCACCGAGGTGACACCGGCATCCTGAGGGGGCGACTGGGGGTTGTGCCTACTCCTTCGATGCCTGTTTGTGGTGGAATCCTGGCCGGTGGAGGTCATGGTTGGGAAGACTTCACCCCTGCTGAAGATCTGAGGGGGTGGAGGTGGCTGTGAGGGGGCCGGTGCGCCTTGAGGATCCCACATTCCTGCTCCTTTCTATGCCCCGCCCCCTGTAATAGATTCCATCCCATTCTCCACAGCCGCCTTCTAAACTTCTCCTCTCTCAAGGCCATCTCCCTCCACTCAGGTGTCCATTCCACCTGGTCGCGCCCGGTCCACCCCTTTTACACGATTCCCTTTCCCCTATCTTACCCTTTTCACTAAGCAATTAGCCTCCAGGCTCATTTAGTCCGTTCTAGGGCCTGCCCTTTCCAGCCCATCATCGCCCCTCCCACTCTACCAAGCCCCGTTCCCAGACCCTTTCATTCCTCTAAATCTCACTCAGACCCCATCCCCTCACAAACTTGCCCTTTCCGGCCTATCTCCCAGGATAATCACCTACCCTTTCCCTCCGCCAGACCCAGCCCTGGCCTCGACTCCACCCGTAACGTTCACTTAACCCCACCCCTTATCGGGCCGGACCGGTACCTCACTTCGCCAGATCCCGCCCCTCACGGGACTGCCCCTTTCCTTCCACCAGACGCCACCTACTGCCCAGACTCGACCCTTAACGTTTCACCGAGGCCCTTCAGCCAGTCCCGAGCCACCTTCCGCCCGCCTCCGCCCCCTGCCCGCCTCCGCCGTCGACGGGACCAATCCTTTCGGATCCACTCACAGGACGCAGCCCCTTTCTCAAACTCCGCCCCAGGCTCGCGCCGCCAAATTCCGGGCGACCAGTGGGGCCAGGGGTGCCCGAGCCTCTCTTTTCCATTGGACCAGGTCTCTCTACAGCCCGCCCAGATCCCGCCCACAGTGGGGATCCTGCCGCAGGGCCGCGCCCCTCGCGCGGGCCACACCTCTCGCGAGCTCTCGGGCCGCAGACCGGTGCGTCCGGGCGTGACGCCCGCCGCACTGCGCCTGCGTGAAGGGCGCACCAGCCGGCCGTTTGAGACTGAGCTGCGGCTCAAGCGCTCCCCTCCCCCAGCTACCGCTGCTGTCATCCCGGCTACCACAGCCGCGGTCCTTCAGTCTCTTTCCGGTCACCTTAGGAGCCCTCCGGACTCACGCCAACCGTGCCGTGCGGTGTCTCGAGAGCAAGCAAGGAAGCGAGGGAGTTAGGAAGGGGCGTCTTCTCTCCCCGCGGCTTCCCGCGCGGCGCGGCGCGCCACGATGACGTAGCAAGGGCGGGCTAGGTGCTGGGCCCAGAGCGAGGTTGACACTGGACGATGGCCGGTGGCGGCCAAAATGGGTGTGGTGATGATGCTAAATGTTGTGAGGATTTTCTGAGTTCATATTCACTACGGTGGTACACAGGAAACACTCATCGAATGTTAGCTGTTAATATTCTGCCACGAAAGTGGGTGGTGGGGTGGAAGGAGTCTTGGAGGCAAGTAATGGTAATGATAGGAAGGATTATGTGACAGGCATTGTTGGAAGCCACAATTCTATGAGGTAGTTCCCATTACTAAGACTGACTTTGCAGATAAAGAAACTGAGGTTACGGGACTTAGCCATGTGACGTTGGGCAAGTTACTGAACAGCTCTGTGCTCAGTTTCCTCATCTGGAAAATTGTGATAATAATAGTGCTCAAAGCCAGAGTGGACTCGGGGAGGGGAGTTTCTCATGGGTGGCAGCTCTCGCTGTCTGACCCCTCCACCAAGTAACCTCTGCTCTCAAGCTGTGATAGAAAGTGCATGTGTGCCTGGGGGCTCGGGGGACCTGTCCCTGTGCCCCACCCCCTGCAACTCCCACCCCGTGTCTAAATGTCTAAATATCAGCCCCACAAGAGGCCGGTTTGTCCTCCTAATCTCCCTTTCTCATTCTCCACCATTTCCTACCGGGCTGTAGGCTGGGGCCGGAGAGATAAGCGGTCTGGCAGCATCGCTGACTAACAAACAGATTGACAGCCCCAGCACCCAGTAGCCGTGCCCTCTGATCTTGAAGACGCCAGTTCCTGCCTCCTCTTCCCTCTACTCTTCCTACCTGAATATGCCTTTTGTCTCAGCGCAAGAAGGTAACAGACCCAAGACCTTTAAACCTTTACATCAAAGAAAACACGTACAATGATACACACTGAAGAACGTTCCGGAGTTGTGATGCCTGCACAGTAATAGAGTAGAGAGTCTTATAAAAGATCAAGGCCCATTTTTCTGTACAGTCAGAAGAGAGGTTCCTATAGAGCAAGGGTCAGCAAACTTTATAAAGGGACAGATAGTAAATATTTTAGGCTTTGCAGGCCACATATGGTTTCTGTGACATACTCTTTTTCTTTCTTTTTTTTAAACAACCCTTTAAAAATGAAAAAATGGCTTGCAGTGTGTCTTGGGCCTGAAGGCCATAGTTTGCCAATCCCTGCTGTTGAGTGTCAGCCTTTGGTTTCCTTTATCTGGCTGGGATTCTTCTACAGGATGAGGGCAAGAATTCTGTTTTTCCTGAGGAGAGGTATTCCTTTTGTGTGAGGTGTGACGACAGGGATTCATCAGGGTCAGGACAGGGTCAGGTCACTTCTGGTATTCCTCTAGTGGGCCAAGCAGATGTTTCTGGACAGAATGAGTTCAGGGATTCCTCTGGTTTCCACACTGTTGTTCCTTTACTGAATCAAGCAGGGGTTTCTATTACAAGAGAAGACAGTAGTTTCTAGAGAGCTCCAGACTATGGGTTCCTGTACAAGCTTAGGATGGGGCTTCTTAGACTACTTTATGACAGGTTCCTACAAAGAGATCAGGTGGTCGGTCCAGTGCTGGATCAGCACAGGTGTTTCTGTATAGGTTAAGAGCTTATGTTCATATAGACAGATCAGGTGTTCTGCCCAGATTCAGGTCAAGAGATTATTATTAATTATGCTAAATTATGCTGGCTGCTGTAACAAACCCAGAATCTCAAGGGCTTAACAAATAAGTATTTATTTCTTGCTCATACAAAATCGAATCTGAATATTTACTACTGGTCATCCGTGGACCCAGGCAACTTCCATTCTGTGACTCTGCCCTCCTCTAGGTCCTTGGAATTGTCATTCTTCAGTTGGTAGATGGGGAAAGAGAGAGAATGGAGACTTTCATGAGAGGTTTTTGTGGGCCAGGCCTGGAAGTGGTGTACATCACTTCTGCCCGCACGCTATTGGTCAAAACTCTGTCACATGTCCATATCTAACTACAAGGGAGGTTGGAAAAGATAGAGAGAACTCAGGAAGCAAGGGAACAGGTTTCAATGAGCCTATGGCAGTGTCTGGTACAGGATTCGGTAGACTCCGCAGAGCTATGCTGTCCAATATGGTAGCCACTAGCCACGTGTGGCTATTGTCTTTGAAATGTGGCTAGTCCAACTTGCGATGTGCTATAAATGTAAAATACACACCAGATCTCAAAAACTTAGTATAAAAAGTTTAAAATATCTCAGTAATTCTCATATTGATTACATGTTGAAATGACAATATTTGGATATATTAGGGAAAGTAAAATATATATACATTTTGAGCCAGAGTCTCACTCTGTTGCCCTGAGTAGAGTGCCATGGCGTCAGCCTAGCTCACTGCAACCTGAAACTCCTGGGCTTAAGCAATCCCCCTACCTCAGCCTCCCCAGTACCTGGGACTACAGGCGTACATTACCATGCCCGGCTAATTTTTATATTTTTAGTAGAGATGGGGTCTTGGTCTTGCTGTGGCTGATCTTGCAAACACCTGAGCTCAAGCAGTCTTCCTGCCTCAGCTTCCCAGAGTGCTAGGATTACAGGCATGAGCCACCACGCCCAGCTGGTAATGTATATCAATATGTATTAAAATTAATTTCATCAGTTTCTTTTTTCTCTTTTTAATGTGACTGCATAAAAATTTAAAATTATACATGTGACTCACATTATATTTCTATTGGGCAGCACTGCTATAGAAAATTTTCTTTAAAGCATTGGGACAGGGGTTCTTTCACCGTATAGGGGTAGGGATTTCTCTATAGGGTCAAGTTAGTGTTTTCTGTCTGCAGTCAGGAGAATGATTCTATTACCTGGTAAAGCAGGTTTGTAGGAAAATATGAGGGTTGTAGACATTGTAAAGTTAGAGGGAAAGGTCTGAAGGCATTTTTTTTCCTATCCAGATTATGGTTTGGTGTTCATTTTGAGGCCAGGAGAATGGTTTTCTGTAGGCAGTCAGGCCAGAGGATCACAATATACTCAGGCCAGGCACTTCTGTATAGGATCAGAGCTAGATTCCCAGAGACAGATCAGGTGATCTAGTTGGGGCTTAGGCCAGGGGTCCTTGTACAGGTTCCAGACAGGAGTTCATGGTAATTCAGATTATGGGCTGGTTAACAAGTTCAGAACAGAGGTTCCTCTATGGCGTAGGTGTTTTCATAATGGTTCATTCCTTGGATCCCCCTAAAGAGGCAAATCAGATGTTCCTGTGTAAGGGCAGGGTTTTCTGTACCAGCTCAGGGCACAGGTTCCTGCTGAGAGTCACAAACGGTAGTCCTGTGCAGGATCAGGACAAAGATCCTGTGCAGAGTTAGGACACTGGTTCCTTCAGAGATTCCGGTTAATGTTTTTTTCTGTTGCGTTAGGACAATGGTTCCTATACAGGGTAAGGGTGGGTCTTCCAGGACAAGGCCAGGCAAAGACTGTTACAGAGAATCACATCAGGCTTCCTGTTCAGAGTCAGGAGAGTATTTCCAGAGGGTAAGGTTAGGAGTTCCTGTAAAGGATTAGATCAGCGATTCCTGTGAATGAGTAAAGTAAAGGAATTCTCTTGAGTTTCAGGAAAAGGGTTTTCTGCAGAGAGTCCAGTCAGAGAGGTTCTGGTATAGTTGTAGGGCCAAGCTTCCTGTAGAGGGTGAGGGCAGTGGAGCTAGTGCAGGGTGAGGACAGGGAGCCTTGTGCAGCATCAGCAAATGGCACCCATACAGTAGAGTTGGGTCCTGGACCAGGTGAGTCCATGGGGGCCTGTAGAAGATGAGGTCAGTGTTTAAAGTAGATGGTCAGGACAGGCGTCCCTGCCACCAGGTCAGGGAAAGGTTTTCTATACAAGTTCAAGAATGAGGTTCATGTTGAGAGTTAGATCATGGGTTCCTGTGGACTCTACAGGGTAGGGTGTGAGGTCGGGGGTTATTGTACAGGGCTATGTCTGGGGTCATTGTCAACAATGAAGGCGAGGGCTTCTATACACAGTGAGGGTTCCTGAAGAGGTTGAGGACAGGGATTTCTGTGGAGGGAGAGAGTTGGGTCCATGGTTCAAAATTTGGTTTATCATGAGTAAGGTGTTTTTAAAATGCTCCCTGGAGGACAGGGCTGCAGCACAGTGTGAGGTATTCTTGTCTGAGGTCAAGGCAGGATTCCAGTGGGGAGATTGGTATTTGTGCAGAGGGCCAGGACAGGCATTCCTGTCAGGTGCTGCAGGGGCTTTCTTACGGCGTTAGCTCAGAGATTCCTAAGTGGGGTAGGGTAGAGGTTCCTATGCCAGGGGAGCACAGAGGTGCCTCCTATCCAAGGTGAGGGCTGGAGTTCCTGTCCAGGATCAGGATGGGTTTCCTATGGATAATTAGGTAAAGGGTTCCCTTAGAGTTCCAGAGTGAGCCTCCTGAACCAGGCTAGGGTAGCTGTTCTTACAGGGGGTGAGGCTCTGGGCTCCTGAACAAGGTAGGGCCAGGCACATGTTCAGCACAGGTTCTGAAGGACAGGGGCTCCTGTAGGGTGTGAGGGCTGGGCTTCTGTGGGGAGCCTGGCAGGTGGTTTTTATAGGGTCAGGGCCGTTCTGAACAATCTGTGCAATGAGTATGGACTACTATGATCCTGAGTGGGCTACTCAGTGGCGAGGTGACTAGCTGCTGGAGAGTTGTTCTGTGGAGGACAGCTGCTTACCCATAATATGTTCAGGATCTGTGAGCCCCTGTAATCCCCATCTCTGGGGCTCTAGGGGAGAAGCCATAAGAGAAGCAGCTCTATTAAGTGTGAGCAACACTCATTTGCTGGGGACTTGGATCACCCCATCTAAAATCTGCTCCTTAAACTCAGTGTGGTCAGGGCAAGTTCCTTATCAGTGCTGAGCCTCACTTTTTCATTAGTAAAATGAGTGCGAGTATGCTTTCCTCAGAATATTTTTTTTTTCAGGTGTTAGTGAACTAAAGCCACTGGACCCTC